TCGGCGTCGCGCTCGCCCACGCTCCCGGCAGGGAGTGGTGGAGGGAGGGGGCGTGTCGGAAAAACTCAATTTCCGCCCATCTCGGGGCGGGGCCAACTACGTGATTCCTCTACGTTTCCGTGCTGCGAGGCAGCTGTCGCGGCTTCAGGATGCTGGACACTGAGAGACTCGGTGAGGGGGAGGGGAAGGCAGGGGAGGGGAGCAGAGTAGCACCTGGGACTGACTTTTGACCTCTAACCTGTGACCTTTCCCCCGTAGTGCTGCCTCCTCCCGATCCCTTGAACCTGCCCCTTGGAGCTCTGGAAGTGGGCTGCACTGGGCACTGGGAGCTGCTGAACGTGCCTGGGGCTCCAGAGAGCACTGTGAGTGAGTTTTGACTCTCACCTTTGACCCGGGAGGCTAAAAGTGACCCCCCCCCGCCCCCCGCCCCGACCTCACCTTCCTGTGCCTGGACACTGTCACCTGTGGCCCCCAGGCGATGTTGGACAGAACCCAGCCTCCTGAAGCTCCAGTGGGACACTAGCTCTCACAACTGCGCTTTCACGTGTGACTTTCTTCCTTGGAAGTTCCTTCTTTCTGCACTTGGCTGAGACCTCACTTATCAGCTTCTGAATCTGAAGTCGGGTGTGGTGCAAGCCTTTAATCCCAGCACTTGGGAGGCGGAGGCAGGCCGATCTCTTGAGTTGGAGGCCAGTTTGGTCTACAAGAGCTAGTTCCAGGACAGGCTCTAAAGCTACAGAGAAACCCTGTCTTGGGAAAAACCAAAACAAACAATTCATAACAGTAACAGAACTCCACTTAGGAAGTAGCAGCAAAGGAACTGTACTGCAGGGTTGGGAACCACTGGCTCCGTCGATAAAGTGCTTGCCATTAGCTAAGTTGGTATAGTGTTTGCCTAGCGTACACAGAGATCTGGGTGACACTGAGGTGTGGCATTGCATGCTTGTCACCCCCTAGTTCTGGGTCATTTATATATATGAAAATTTATTTATTTTGTAAGGATTTATTTATTTATTATGTATACAACATTCCTTCCATGTATGCTTGCATGCCAGAAGCACCTGATCTCATTATAGATGGCCGTGAGCCACCATATGGTTGCTGGGAATTGAACTCAGGACCTCTGGAAGAGCAGTCAGTGCTCTTAACCTCTGAGCCATCTCTCCAGCTCCTGAAAATTTACTATATATGTATATCAAGTTGGATGCAAACCTGAGTTACACCAAACCCTGTCTTAAAATAAGAATGCAAATGGCTGTGTCTGGCCTCTACGCGTCCGAAATACATAGTTTGCTTTAGTTAGTGCCGCAGGTCCCTCAGCCACAGGTTGGTTTTGCTTAGCTTTTGGGCTTTGCTCATCCGATTGCCTCGGCTTCTACTGGAGACATCCACCACTGGATCTAAACACAAATCCCGTCGCCTCTTCTGTCTGCACTTTATCCATTCCTAATGGTTCTCACCTCGCCCTTGTCCCAGCTTCCCCACGGCCTCCCTCCCTGTGCCCCCGACCTCCAGCAGGAAGCGGAGCAGCTGTTTCTCTCGTCTCCCGCCTGGCTTCCTCTGCATGGTGTGGAACACTCAGCTCGGTGAGGAGTCTGCAGGGCCCAGCAAGGGGGGTGGACTACCCAAAGGGAGCAGGGATAGCGAGAAAGCTGACTCCCAAGTTCTTTTCCGTTCCTCCAGAAAATGGCAGAGGAAGAGGGATCCCTGGTCTCTTCTGGCTGCTCTGGGGGCTCCCGTCCCATCCGACCTTCAGGCCCAGAGACACCCAACTACAGGCCAGATACTGGGCTACAAGGAGGTGAGAGGTCAGAGACCAGAAGAGACAGAGCTGGGAGAACGGGTCGGAGCAGACCGGGTCTCACCGGGACTCCAACCTCTTGTCTCAGGTCCTGCTGGAGAACACAAACCTGTCGGCCACAACGTCCTTGTCCCTTCGCCGACCCCCAGGGCCAGCCTCCCAGTCACTATGGGGCAATCCAACACAGTACCCTTTCTGGCCTGGTAAGTTGTAGATGGTGGGGGTAGAAGCGAGTGTCGTTGTGTCTAGGGAACGGGTCCCTGCTGAGGCCGAACCCTCATGTTTCCCCAGGTGGGATGGACGAGCCCACCATGACAGATCTGAGCACTCGGGAGGAAGCTGAGGAGGAGATAGACTTTGAGAAAGGTGAAGTGGCCGTGTCTGAGGAGGGCCCAGCAGGCCGCTGCTGGCTGTCCTGTCCATGCACAAACTACGGGAAGGGGGTCCTCCTCGCCCCAGGGGAAAAACTGTTCTCTTTAGTACCCCTGAAAAAAATGACCACAGTTGCTGTCCACATGGCAGAGCACTGTGACTGTGTCATGTGACGGAACAGCTGGGCGGCGGCTGATGCCGTGGCAGCTGATGCTGTCCCTCTGGTCCGGTCCTCAGATCTTCTTACTGTCCCACCTGGCTTCAAGAAAGGTGTGGATTTTGCCCCCAAGGGTGAGTGTGATGAGGATTTGTAGGGATGCCCAGCTCTTGTTGCAGGCGTGTGAATCTAACGGGTTGCTCTTGCTCCTCAGATCATCAAGCTCCTGTGTCAGGTTTGCTCAGCCTCAGCTGCCTGCTGGAGCCCCTAGATCTGAGTGGAGGCGATGAGGAGGACAAGGCTGAGCCAGCAGGAGGCCCTGGAGGGGACACTGCCTCCGCCTCTCTGTGCAGCGCTCCCCTGGGCCGAGCAAGCAGCTTGGAGGACCTTGTGTTGAAGGTTGGTGGTTACCGGTGATGGAGGCATGCAAGATGGGGCCTGACTGCAGCAGGGGCGGGTTCGAGGGTAAGAGTGAGCTATCTGGGGATGAGTGGCAGTCAGGAGCGCTCTGGCTGTACATTTAGCTCTCCTGCCCGGCATTTCCAGGAAGCATCCACAATCGCATCCCCCCTCGAGCCTCCCAAACCTGCACCCCAGGAACAGTGGGCTGTACCTGTGGATGTCACCTCCCCTGTGGGTGATTTTTACCGTCTCATTCCTCAGCCTGCCTTCCAGGTACTGCACACAGGTCTTACTCCACCTCTTGGTAGCCCCGACCCTGGCCTTGCCCCTCAGCCCAGCCTTGTCCCCTCTTCACCAGAGCCCATATATGGTCCCGGCCTGCCTTGCTCCTTGGTCCCAGCCCTGCACTGGCCTCCTCTTTGCCCTGATGCCTGTGAGCAGGTAGAGGGGCCCTGTCACTATAGCCCTGTCCATTTCTCTTGCGCAGTGGGCCTTTGAGCCAGATGTGTTTCAGAAGCAGGCCATCCTGCACTTGGAACAGCACGACTCTGTCTTTGTTGCGGCTCACACATCTGCCGGGAAGACAGTGGTGGCTGAATACGCCATTGCCCTGGCCCAGAAACACATGACCCGGTACACGTGGCTCCTCAGCCTGCTCTCCTCTGCATCCTTTCCGAACCTCCCCTCTACCTTATCCCTTAGATAGGAGGTTCAGGAGAGAGGCCAAGATGGGGTTCAGAGAGAAGTGAAAAGGTCTAGGAGAGAAAGAGAAACTGGGCAAGAAGATGACCTGGGCTAGCTGAGGAAGGGTTGGTGTCCTGAGGGAGGGCAGGCGGGCTGTCAGGGTGGGGGGGGGCTCCGGCAGGCAGGAGGGCTGTCAGTGTGGGGGGGGCTCTGGCGGGCAGGACGGTTGTCATTGTGAGGGGGGCTCTGGCGGGCAGGTAGGGTGTCAGTGTGAGGGGGACTCCGGCGGGCAGGTGGGGTGTCAGTGTGAGGGGGACTCCGGCGGGCAGGTGGGGGTGTCAGTATGAGGGAGCACTCTGGCAGGCAGGCAGGGTGCCCCAGCTGCGGTTCTGTGAGGAAAGAGCCTCTGACTGCCTGCCCTGTCTCCAGTACCATTTACACGTCTCCTATCAAAGCCCTGAGCAACCAGAAATTTCGGGATTTCCGGAACACGTTCGGGGACGTGGGGCTGCTCACAGGAGATGTGCAGCTGCACCCAGAGGCCTCCTGCCTCATCATGACCACAGAGATCCTTCGGTGAGAGAGGGGTCTCCCAGGTGGGTTGTGCATCCCTGCAGAAGCAGGGTAGACAGCCGCTGAGGAGTCAGCCCGGCACTGCTTCTCCCCAGCTCCATGCTGTACAGCGGCTCAGACGTCATCCGGGACTTGGAGTGGGTCATCTTTGATGAAGTCCACTATATCAACGATGCGGAGGTGCGTGGTGGGTGGGTCTCATCACAGAGCCCTGTCCCACATACCCTGAGGACCTCACTGTCTCTGCTCCCTGACTGACCTGTCTCCTCTGCTGACGTGTACGCAGCGTGGGGTCGTGTGGGAGGAGGTGCTCATCATGCTCCCTGACCACGTCTCCATCATCCTTCTGAGCGCCACCGTCCCCAATGCCCTGGAGTTTGCTGACTGGATCGGGTGAGACGTGGGCCCTGGGTGCTTGACTGAAAAGGACCGTGGCGTTCCTTGGTTGGGGTTGGGGCGGTCAGGCCACTGCAGTGAGGACAGGGGTCAGACTATGGAGCCGGGAAATAGCCACACCTGAGTGGCTGCCGAACCCCACCCCCAGCCTGAGGTTTGCATGCTGAGATGGGATGGTGGGAGCCATCTGTCTGGACAGGCACACTCCATGGTCC